AGGTGAACTTTAACTTTTTATTCATCTAATAGTTCAATAATAAAGAAATAAATGAACACATTGGACATTATTCTGTCAGTCAACAATTTTACATAAAATACATAATTATATCATAACATCCAAACATTAACATCTTGTAATAAAAACATCTAACTTCAAAGAATATCTGTCAAACGTATACTATACATAAACATAACTGTCTTCCAGTCAAACAATATCGCGTGGGACAGAGTTATATTGAAATACCAATATACAAGTTAATCTATATACATTATTAAAACCGTTCATATGAATAATTCAAAAGTATCTGAATTGAATATTACCCGTGAGTTTATGGTATTGCTTTGAAGTTACAAACAGTTTATTTTTGTATTACACACTATCATGTCGGATTTCCAAGATAAGTTCACCACACCATTGTCTTGTGCAACTGTCTCACTTTTTTTATAATAAATGCTAGAGCTGAAAGTCTCAGCATCTCTTACCAATCTGTTAATGAAAATATTTGTCATGAACAGTAACTATACATTGGCTATCTAATCAACATATTCTTCAGCAAGTACACCATGTTACGAGCCCCTAATAGTTAAACGAGTTTCTAATAGTTAAACGTATGTCATACTGTTCACTATAAAGACTTTTGTTTGTTAATTGTCAACATTTGAACATAAGACGATTATTGTATATTTGTATGAACATTTTACAAATTCTAAGTTTGTGAAATTTTGTTATTGCAAAACACGTGTTACAAAACATTACAACTTTTTTGCGTAGTATGAACATTGCTTTTGATTTGAGAATTTTTATGTATTGAACCATATTTCACAAATTTTAATACATGTATCATTCATCATACAGTCATTGCTAAAACACTTTCATATACATGTATTTGACATGAAATGTCAATATTTGACATATAATGTCATAATTGTCTACTGCTACTAAACAATATAGTTTAATCTCAGCGTGTTTTTGTCTCTCATTTATTCCTGTTGGCCTGATTCATTATTTCCACAAAAAGCTACATATACATGTACTTGAATGAATATTTACAACAATGAATTATCACAGCGATGCTCCGCATGATAAACACACCCTGCCTCCGCATGATAAACACACCCTGCCTCCGCATGATAAACACACCCTGCCTCCGCATGATAAACACACCCTGCCTCCGCATGATAAACACGCACGGTCATTCCATTTATGGTCCTTTAAATGCTATATGCAACTTTCAGTCATTTCAACAGGTTCCATTTGATTCATTACCAAAGTATACCATGAAATTTTCAATGTAATTTTGTTAAAATCCATTCTAACCAGGGTCTTTATTGTATGTCGTTATCACATCTTTACTTCAGATCCGTATCAATCGTGTTTCTATCCAGGAACACTTTATTTTTCTTTAACAACAATTGTTCAAATTCGTAATTAAATTAGCTGCCATTCGAACTGATTTATCATCTATTTGTCGAATATCTTATCCTTTAATTACATTATATCACCATTGATATCACTCTTGTACAGTGCACATCATTTACTGTCAACATCAATTAACTTCCTGGTCCTTTTCAACAATTTTTTATTTGAAACGTATCTATCTACAATTTCCATTTCTTGCATTTATTCGTCATGAATGTCACTTTCTGTGTTTACATCCAAATTTCAATAAATTTTTCTTTATGATCCAAAGGTTTACATTTTCTTTTGCTTAATCACTTTTTGTTTTACTTTTATCACCTTAAGGTTTTTGTCCAATCGTAATGATCTGTGAGAAAAGCTATGATACAGAAAAACACAGTTATGTTTAGTGAAGCACCAATTGTTGTTGCGGAAGACACTTGTTGTTTTTGAGTTGTTGTTGGCGGTGTTGTTGTATGTTGGTATGGTGTCGATACGAACATTCTATCTACAACATGAATGACGCCATTTGTTGCTAGAATATTTGGACGAACTATTTTCGCTTCAACCTTTTCCCATCTGAGGTAGAACGCTGAAATATAGCAGTGATGATTTAGTAAACCTTTTATTGCAAATAATTATCATAAAAAATTACTGTCCTTAAAATAATAATTTTATTCATTTTTATATTCAGACCTTAAAATTCGCATAACAACTGTTATTAAACACTTTAAATAATTATATGAAACTATTTGTAACACGTTTTTACAGAAAAAAATAGCACTTTTTTCTTTAAATCAAGCAAAACAAATATCCATTAGATATATACTAAACATGACAACAATTTGGATAACAACTAACCATCTGTCTTTGAAATGACGGATATATTTCTGTCATACGCATGTCTTGTGTATCCACCTGCCATTATGTCACGGTAGTCAATCTGTTGCCCTATCACAATGTGTCTGTGGACAATCTACAGATATGAAAAACAATAATACGTTACAGTTTACTTTAGCAATTTAGTTATAATTTATGACAATGAAGGCTAAAATCTAACATAAATAACTAACACTAAACGTCAATACACAAATCGCTTACTATGGTATGACAGCTCGGTCACTTTATGTCCCCTTGCTTGTTGATTTAAACATCACAGCAATATACATTATACAATATAATTTGAAGTTAAATGTAATAATAATAATAATAATAATAATAAAGACTTTATTAAAAGAGGCAACATAGTTGGGCATGCCGCAGTCTTCCCTATGAGCCTCTTTAATGCTATTCTAATGTATATAAGAGATCAACATTACTTTAATTTAAACGAAATAACTGACCTCCATCCTTTCATCAAAGGTGAGATTTTTATTGATGTATTCAATATCATTAAGTGTTAGATACTGGAACGAGTCATCATCCGGAACAAAGACGGTAAATACTGTATTCTTTGACGTCAAGTCGATACTTGCATTGCTTGGAATCAACTTTAGCAGTTGATCTGTTCCAATTCTAAAATATAAAACGTATACTTATATTAATATATCAGACCATGTACAAAATGTAATCGATAAATGCATTTCATAATTAGACGTGCTATCGAAAGAACTGGCACGAAGATGGTTACAAAAATGATCAAAATCTATAAATAATCAAAATCTCATAGCATAAATAACAGTTGGTCTCACTGGAAGATAGCTGCTATAACAACAGACTAAAGTCACCAATATTGGATCATATGACATAATTTGTTGGTTACATTTTAGCTCTTTTATATAGAAATTCCTTAAATTACTTAAAGATGGTTGTTTGAAATTATAAGATATACAAGACCACTGCACATATTCGACATTGTTAGAGTTACCAATATAAGAAAAAAAAACAGAAAGGAGGCAGGGATCGCAGCATGCATACCTATATGCATCTATAAACTTAAAATACATATTTGGTGTGTGGCTGCATCTGTAAATAAACTGTCCAAATAACTGTCCAGAAGTTATTCAAAAATCTTAACTCAATACTTATTTAATCAATATACACTTTCAGCATAAGTTTTAATAGACATGTTATTTTATAATCGTTAAGATAAAACTGATATTGTTTAGGAAGTTTACTTACCCTATTTTTGGCTGTTGTTGTAATTCAGCTAATGTATTATATAGAGGATAATTTAGGAATCCATTGATGGTATAGATTATACCATTGCTACATGCATATCCATCAAAAACAAGGTCAAACTTTTGTACAAGGTTTGTATAGCCTGTATCCACAGACACCAGCTCTGTAACAATAAAATGACAAGAGTTAAAACAATTTACAGCTTAATTAATTAATTAACTAATTTGTTTATTTATTTATTTATTTATTTATTATACTAAAACAATGTTATCATTATCATCTGTCAAACACTTTTCCGAAAAAATACAGTATTTGCAATAGAGCTAAAGCATCTTTTGTTAAGAATAGTTATAGTGAATAATTATTTTATATGAAAATCAAAATACTTTTTTGTTTAACTCTATGCTACGTTTTTACCATCAGTCATACGTCCTTCCAATGAAAAGCGTATGTATGCTTAACAAACCATCTTTAAAATCTTATTGACACATATTTGTCCTTTAAATAAAAGACAAAAATCATTTATGAGGGATAATATTCCTTTTACAAAAGTAATGCATAACACTGCTTTGATTTTAAAGTTAATTACCGTAATGAATTACAAATATATAAGTTTTGTACATCTGTTTCTGTAAACTTAATAAGCTTTGGTAAGCTTAGGGTTTGCTCCGTTACCTACAGTTATGCTAGTACGATTTGCAACACTGGCGACCCATCCCATTACGACTGACTCCTCCCATAATGACACGCCCCAATTAAGTTAAGAATTTCCCTCATTAATGCATGAATACTTACCAGATCTATTTGATGTATCAAGGTCTATAAACGTGAACGTGTTATTATATCTGTTCTCGGTGAGATACATTCTACTGGAACGGAAAACATATTCCATAAACCCTTGATTCAACGTTGATGCCGGGATCATATGACTTTCATAAAGCTGAAATAAGATATTGACAGTCTATATAAATATGTGTATAATATATATCAACGTGAAACACGCTCAAACTGCCAATTTGAATAAATATACCAAAGATAATGTCAAATCATTCCACACAAATTGACGTGAATATTTTGATATTTAAATATCACCCTAATAGCCCATCATCATTAACATGCTATTTCTGTGTTATATTTGCGGTCCGCTAGCAGAAAATTATCAATAACAACTTTTCAAAAATGATGTTTTTTTTCAAGATCAATAAGAGTACATTGTAATTGATTTTAAATCACAGAGCGTTTTAATGTTAAAGCGGACAACGTATGTAATGCATTTGTTCAAAAACAGATATTTCAATAAATGTAATCTATGAGTGTGTACAAATGTTTGATACAACTGATAAAGGTAAATGGATATGTAAACAGATTTTTACCTTACTAATAAGGATTTTTTAATTTAGTATCGGCAAATAACTTTAAAATATTTAAAACGCGATAGATAAATGAAATGTTAAAGGTAATAAATTGATAGAACGAACCTTTTTTATCAAGTGTGGTTCTGTTTCAATATGTAATCGATGATTTCCATTTAGGTTTTGTAGAAATGTTGTACTTGGTACAAACAATGTTTGATTGATGTTAAAAGTTGATGACCATGTTCGAAACTCGTCGACTTCTTGTACAAGGCCATAGAATTGTCTGAAATTTGAGAGAGATATATACCATGTAACTGCGGCCAATGTAAACCAATCACTTTAGCATATATGTCTTAAAATAGATTAAGAAGCATGCTAGACATGTTAATGCTGTGTAAGGTCTCAGGTACCCCTCAATACATTATATCAGGTACAAGTAGAACCATCGGCCTGTGTAAGCTTAAAAGATAGATTCACATGACAAAATCCAAAACCCATATCGACTTCCAACCTGCCGTTCAAACCGCTGGACTTTGAACTGAATATGATCAGGCTATTGGAAATCTACTTCAGTGTTATATACGTTCAATTAAAACTAGGAGTATGTTCATACCTCAACTGCTATAGTTGGAGTATGTTCACAATAATACGGATACAGTAGTAGTAGATTGTCAACATTGATATTGTACCAGCACAGCTGTATAATCTAAATTACCGGTATATGAAATGTTATGTGAAAATAATGTATTTATTGTTTGAACTTTATTCTTTCACTGGACAAATATGTGTGTTTATTTAATTTTACCCATGAAATATGGTGCTATATCAGTCAAATATATTTCATATTTTTTAAAAATAAATATGAAATATAAATATGAAAGTGGGCGGAGTCAAAACTCATATTTATTTTAAGGGACTTCTTTCGCCGTTTTGTTTGAAAAATCTGATAAATACAAAACAACTTTTTCTTGAATATTGTTTTGAAAACTATCTAGCATGATAGAAAATGGTCTTACTAAGAAAATTAATCCGAATACCAATATCTTTAATTCAGTAATTAACGCTGTACAGACGTTTAAAGAGTTGTTTACATAACGTCACAATGTAGCGCCAAACAGCGCGTGCTTACGCATAAATTACTGCGCGCTGTACAATTGCAGTTGGTAGCAAGCAAGGGGTTTCGGTACCATTTTCTTTGATAATGAAATTAAATAAAAAGGTTATTTTTTCGTTTTTCGTGAAATATGGTATATATTTTCACTCAACATGATAAAATGCCACATATTTTCACTCGCCGTACCGGCTCGTGAAAATATGTGGCATTTCATTATGTTTCGTGAAAATATATTCCATATTTCACGAAAACGAAAAAATATCCTCTTAATATATGTAAAATGTATGGCAAAAACTGCACTGTTTACGTTAACAACATTTTGTGCCTGTTTGTCTACTAAAGTAGTAGTGTGTTCACACTTATACTGAGTGCCTTTACAATTAAACTGCTATAGGAGTTTTTTACATCTAAAATGCTTTAGTTGGAGAACATTCACACTTAAACTGCAATATAACAATATGTTCAAACTTACTTTAACTGTGGTGTTTTCTCCATCACTTCTTCAACAGTCCAGTAAGGAAAGTTTAACAATGTATCTACTACATGTATTATACCGTTCATACAACGTATATTACTCTCTATTATTCTTCCTCTTACATTATTACTAACTGCATGTACTGTAACAAAAAATGAATAATCTATCAAGAGTGCGTCATATTCTGTATGATATTGACCTAAAATGATTTCAAGTTGTTCAGTTCTAACAAAATACATCATTGGTTTTTCTAAATCAAGATATTTAACCTGACGTTTAAAATATTTCTTATGGATGATATAAATACAAATTTAGTATACATCGACATATTGCTTTCGCAAATTTTATAACAGAAGTTTCTTAGGGGTTATCACAGTTTAACCTTTACGCCATTAATTAATCAATACAAATACGAGCCATGCCATTTCCTCTTAAAAATACAATTTTAGTTTAATTAATGAAAACGTAAGATCGACATGATATAAAAGTTTTCATATCGAAGTATGTTCGTACCTTTGTCGTGTGATTTAATTAGAAACAAAGGGAGACCACTATGGGATGTAAGTCTTGTATAATTTCCGTAATCTTCCATGTAGAGTGCCGTACCAGGAATAACATGACTTTCTACAATCTGCAATGATTATTTACAATATTGTTTCATCAAATTTTCCTTCATGAATATCATTAAAATACATATACATTATAAAAATACACTCAATGAGTGTTGCTTTAATTTCCTGGTTAACATTAAAGGCCTCTTTATGCCTCAAAAAGAATAACTTTTTACCTTCTTCAGAAATGACAAACTTGAAATTTATAGCAATTAAATAATGATTTTAGAGCATGTTAGATTCTCATCATCAGAAAAAGGAGCATGGAATGTGATTTTTTAAGAGAACTAATTGCAAAAAGGCAACAGAAGCAAAAGATGGTTCAGATAAATGGCCAATGAGTATCTTTTTGGGAACTAGAATATGACAATTTATCGAGAAATAGAAAATTAAAGAATTTCGGAGGAATAATAGGCCTTTAAATGTAACATACTTTGGGACTTTTCTCCCCCATAACATTCACAGATAAGATTATGGTTCTACATGTTATCTAAAGTTATTTTAAGTAAGTAAATATTTACCACACGACTCCGCTTGCAAGTTTGTCAAAAAATGTGATTAAGCTCGCACGAGGCTCGTTTCATATGAATTGCTTTAACTCTTTTCATCACGTTTTATATTTAGAAAACAGATAACGAATAAGGTATGGTTCGAGTTTAAATGCGCAGTATTGTAATCACGAAAGCATACTTTATCATACTACATTGCAAAGCAAAATGTTTCGATTGTTGAATGCTTGTAAAAAAAGAATTGGTAGAAATATGTGCTTCTACATATTGTCATGACGTTGTTTGTGTCATTGACGTCACCTCTGACGTACAATCATCTGTATGCATTTTTATGCCACGCATATAGCGTGTAAATAATGCACTCAAATGCCGATAGAAAAAGTGTGTTAGAATAAAAGGCCACTCCTGTGATATCCTATATATACGAAATTACAACTTGTTATCAAGCACGCCTATGTGTGTGTTTAAAACAAGTGGGCGTCAAATTGACGTAATCAAATCTGTCGTTAGATTTCTGCTTTTACACAGACTAATGATTAAAATGAAAAAACGCGATGTTCCTGTAGTCCAATATCTAAATTTCTTCAAAAAATGCACGCTAATGAGATGAAAAGCATTCTTAATCAGTTTTATATGACAGCGGAATCGTGATGCACACAAATTACATTTTTTTCATTGAAAAATATCTAAATGTAAATTACAATAGTTGCTGTCATAAAGTAAGTCTAAAGTTTTGTTTTTGCTTGAATTTGAAATATGGGAAACAAATAATATATTGCATAATTAAATAATCAGGATATCAGCTAATGCTTAATGTATAAATAAAATATAAAATATGCATTTATCCATTGCTAATGTTGGCATTTCCGTGTTCACAAAACGTATTTAATGTATTATTTATACAGAAGATATGTATTTTAAAACATAAAACCTTTTAACAATGTCAAAAGTATAGACAGAATTCTTTAAAATTCTTTGCACATTCTGAAATTCTGGATATTGAATAAGTTTACATTCAATACTGCATTTATTAAACAATTAGAATTAAGTAAAGGTTAGTGTTTACAACATAAAATTGGTCAAGAACGGCTCAGCAACCAATTTCGTGTTTGAAATTATTTATATAAACAGACGATTGAGAATGATTAATAATAAACTAGCAATCTTATTGGGCAAAAAATAATTTCAATCACTAAATTATAGTGCATTATTTACACGAATTCCTGTGAAAATAAGACTGCTTATATATGAAGAAGAAAAAAAACTTTTTCATTAACGCGCTTATGATGAAACGCTACTGTAACATTTGAATAATGCAAATGACGTCACGTATTTATAAAAGTTTTTTAACAAACGGAGTTGCAAAAGTGGCACTGATATGTGATAAATGTATTTATTATATTTACTCATGTTTGCACTTACTATTAATAATAAATATATACAAATAAATGAGAATCAAGCTGAAAGTATGAACCAGTCTGCGAGAAAATGGCTTTAATAATAATAACAACCATTTCCCTGAATTGACTAGTAATAGTACAAACCGATTGCAAAAGGCCTTGAGTTTCGCTCAGTATTTTCGCTCTATGCGTGGGCATATATGTAAATGCGTCGTCACTTGGGACAAACATAGTATAGTGCGTAGATACATCTTTCAATTCACTTTGTAATTTTGGGAAAGCGCCCATAAGTCCAGAAACAACACTGAAAAAAGAGACAAAAGGCAAGCTACGGAAATAGATATTTTAACGAGAAAAAAAATCATCACAACATCTTAACCATATTCACCAGCATATGTGTTAAAATAATAAATATTGAAACGAAATGTAACAAGCTAAAAACATGATTGCCAAAATATCATAACTGATACTTAATGTAAAATAACAAAAGTGACAAATGACGAAACTGATAAAATAACGTTATTGACAAAATAACTTAACTGACAAAACAACTTAACTGACAAAATAACGTATCTGACAAAATCACGTAACAGACAAAATAGCGTTACTGACAAAATGATTTAACGTATATACCTTAGTGTAGGATGGACGCTCATTTCATCAATGATATTTCTGGTAGGCAGATGTACAATGTTATCAACTATATGAAGTATCCCATTAGAACACCAGATATCCTCTATCACAACGTTGGCTCGAATTTTACTCCCAATAACGTACAATCCTGAAATAAATAGATCAATTTTAAACATTTTGTACTTTATGATTATATATGTATCAAAAACATTAAGTACAAATACATTTATTACGAGGGTGTTTCTGCTTTTATTCTTACCACCAATTTCTGCTTTTCTCCATCATTCGATAACGTGAAAAGTCCCAATTACATATACAACGTTAACGTTAGTTTGTACGTTGCTTGCGTTAATTGGTAAATTGCAAAAAGAAAATTAAAAAAAAAATTAAATCAATGTCAAAAGATATTCAATTTTGTTGGCATTCTTCCAAAGCAGTATATAATAAAGTAGAAACTTCTTATAGACTGGGGAATAACTAAAGAAACAATGATCTCTTCTCAGCAGGCAGATGTCTAGAACGGAAGTTACTGCAGACTATTTTATACATTATGTAAAATCTTTGAAGTGGGTGACATTCATGAAATAGATAAAACTTCATCACTGGCGGGGATTGTGCAGCATATACGGTAGGGAATCATGTGACACGTGCATTTTTATAAAAAATACAACTTTCTGAATTGTTAACCTTGATTCGTGTTGTATAAAGTGATAGTACGGCCTGACAGCGTCGGTACATCTTGCTCGTCAGATATTTGAGTTGAACTTAAGATAACCCCGTTGGCTATTGAACCGCGAATAGCCTGAAAATATACAAATATTTCTGTGTCATCGACTTACATGTATTGCAGACGAGACAACATCGTTTTAATTCAATACAATCTCGGGTTTCATGGAGAAGTATTTGATATAACTAATGTAATATAAACTGTTGGGATGATTTTCATAGACTTTCGTTATCATTTATGTATGAAAATTGTTCCTATTTTCTTTAAGATGTTTGATTTATTTCTATCGTGCAGTTTTACATCATTCTATAACGACCGGAAAAGTCTAAGCGGAAAATAAATATTTTCAACCACTTTACTTGATATTTAAAACACAAAATTGAATATAAATCAAATATATTTTGCAGGGAAATGATACCAATTGCAACACAACAGGTATAAACTATTCTCATTACCTGTAACAGAAGTGCTGTGTTTGTCTTCAGATACATCTGAGCGTCATGATTAAGATGACTCACAGCCGCGTCACTGATGAGGAACGCTGTCATTGGTCCATTTGACGTAGAATGTAACGTGCGTAACAGATCCGCGTTTCTGTTTACAATATCACGCATTTGACTGAAAGATAAAATACTCGTACAATAATTTGAGTTAAATGTATCGTGATATTCTTTCAACAAAATGAGAATATATCAAAATATTTACTTAAAGGTACAATAAGTCTGTAAAATACTTTTTTTCTTCCTGTACAAAAAGGCAAACCCGGTTATATGTGTTATAACAATGGAGTTAGAGGATATGAGATAATTGTCACTTGAGGAAAATAGCGCTTGATGTGAAATAACTTGCTATAAAAGTAGCAAAACTAGTAAAAAAGTAGTACTTTTGACTTCAATACAAAATATTAATAAGTCACTATAACTGTCATAACTGACAAAAAAGAGGTATCAACTATATGGCCAATTAGAAAACCGTCTCATTAAACAGGTCACCAAAAATAAAAGAAAATGAAAATGATAGCTTTTTTAGGCTTACAATTGCTTTTAAATACCTGACATTACTATTTTCTCATATAACAAGTTTAATCTGCACTGTTACTACACAGTATCATATAATTTATAAAAAGACAATGACGTGCCAGGAATTATCTTACATCTCTTATATTTAACCTATAGTTAGTATGACCTTCTAAAAAACAAAACTCCGATGTATTCCTTTTATTCTGTTTATAAAATGTGTTTACCAATAATATATAAACTTTACCTTAATTGTGAGTTGCCTAGTATAGCTTCCCATATTGTAAAGTCTCGTTGAAACAGGACACTATTAACAAGATGTATTACACCATTTGTACAACCTAGGTTTGGAATGGTTAGTTTCGCTCTCACACCACCGCCTTCTACATATACATCTGAAATTAGACAAAAAGTCGAGAATACATATTCAATTATAACAAATCATTCTCATTAAAATATTAAATGACAATGATTAAAAGTAAAACGTTTGTACAAAATTTATCGTAGGCTCCAATGTTTCAAATGTTTTACAAAGAAAAGATACCAGTTAAGTGACGTGACATGAATGCTACAAAGTTGAAAATTATTCCATGAACCATATTTAAAAAAGTGACAATTCTTCTTAAGATGGCATAAACTATATTTCACTATCCATTAACAGGTTTTGTAATACATGGCGTTAAAAATTTTATACGAAGCAGTGCTATACAGTTTTCATGAATCATCCGGTGGGAACCAACGGACTGCCGGCATGTACTTCTGTTTACAGTACACCTTCGGAACTATTTGCAGATAATATGTATGTTTGTTTATTCATTAAGTTGTCAAATTTAGTGAGATTAGATAAGGATATATGGAACAATTAAAGTTATAATGCACTTTTATTCTCACTATTATGAACTTTTCTCATTGTCAGTAACTCTCCGTCAGCTGTAGTGAACGTCTCTCCGTCCTGGAATGTGTCAAGGTCTCTCTGGGTGTATACCACAAGGTGATCCCGGAAAAACTATAAGGAAGAAATACAGTAAATAATACAATAACGCTCCAGAATGCAATATTTATATGAATTGCAATTATCTTATTGCCGATATTCATGGCGCATGCTAAACGACATACAAAGACAAACATTCATTCTGCTTCAATTTATTATTCATTGCATTTAATGTATTATTCATAACATTTGTGCCAGTAAAATTAACTATCAACAAATTATAGTAACGTAATCATGCAATGGGCATGTGTCCAATAAACATTAGTTCTGTAAATCATTTTCATTATTATGGCATTGATCTATAAGATAATTGGCGGACATTTTATGCTAGGTAATTATAGTTTATCTGTAGCTTATGATACTAAAACCTCTTCTATATTGGACTCTAACGCACTGTAAAAGTAATTATATATCTCGATACATCTGAGTAATTGGATTACATTCAAGTCTCATTCAACAATAACATCTATATGTTACGTAATGAAATCATTAGAAATTTGTTTAATGCTCAATGGTTAAAGAATACTAGTCCTAAATCAACAAGTATTGGGAAACGAACAAGGAAAACGCATATTGTACTTTCTTTCAATGTAAAGGTAAAGAATAAGAGCTTATCATTATTATTAATAGTATTTATTTGAACGCATTTCTTCATGGTCAGGAAAATATTGAAATAGGACAGTTATTTTCGCAAACTTAAACTAAGTCGCTACATAAAACATAAAATTTTATTTTCATTTGAACACGTTTCAGAAGATAACATGATAATACTTATAGCATAAATTAATTGATATATACATACTTTTATATTTATTTAATGACACAAACATGCTACATGAACTTACTTTTGATAATTTTGTAATATTTGTATCAAGTTGGGACTGCCTGTCCTCTGGTAGTTTGGCTAGAGCGTCGTCAGTAGGTAGAAAGAATGTCATATTTTTGCTGGCGTTTATGAACCTTTCCCTCATCTCATTTTCTACATTGTATAAGTTTGCTTTAACAAAACTGAAAGAAGAAGAAAAAAACATACAAGGGGAAAACATTAATTTTAATTAGTGAAATTTGTTTTAGGTAAATTGTGTTCAACAACAGATTTAGTCCAGATTATTTATACATTGTTGACAAGAACGCACTATAGTTCCAATATTTACACAATGTCCACTGCAAAGCATTATACAACGATGTATTTCGCTGTGTCTATAAAAAGTTGTCGTCGATTCAAATTATAAAAATGCATAGCATCTCTTACATTTATAAAATACAAATAATTTACAAATAATTACTTATACCAAGTATCAAATATAAATATTATATTAACTTCGACTTTAAACAAATGTTTGATTTATTATTACGCAACATTTTAAAGGTGAATGACCGTTGTTGACCATACATATAACACCTGGCTTTCTCAAGTGGAAGTGCCGACAGTGACGGTACAAGAGACATTAGTGGTAACTTTATAATGGCAGTAAAAAAATCAATCCAGACTGCACATCCGTCTAATCTTAACTGACTGACTTTCTACTGATACAATCCCAAAGTTTACTTACGGCCAAATTCACTACAAGATTTTGCCAAGTTAAGTTTTAAAAAATGTTCTACTTACTTTACATTTTCAAGAACATCCATTTTTTGTTTCATATTTCTGTATACGTAAAACAAGAGGTCGTCAATGACGTGAATGACGCCATTCTTCACTGGAATGTTGGATTGTATAATGCGAGCACGAACCTTATTACTCGTTACATAAACTGAAAGTGAAACCAAGGTATTTGGTAAAATACATTTATCTTTATATATTAACAATTGTCTGTATTAATAAATACATCATAAGAGTAATCTTAAACTAAAGTATTACTACTGCATTAATAACGGAGATCATGAATCGCGCTGGTAACTGATAAAAGAAAGGCACATACAAGTCAAGCCTTAAACAATTGATTACTAGTAGCATTTTAACAACTTTAGTCGGACCCAACACCCCCTGCCTTTTGTCACAGAGGGAAAGCCTTTAATAGTTGAGGCGTAAGAATTGCAGCTACCGTGTCTCCCTGCGTGACTAAATTGGTTCGAATACCTGGAGTTTATCTATCTCAAACAGGTGAGGTAGTTTTGACCCCTGGTGTTACTTTGAAGTTTGTAACACCCGAGGTTAGCCAAAATCATCTTCCCTGTTTCAGCGCCATATGACATTTACAGTGTTGGTGCGCCGTAAAACCAACCAAACAAATCAAACAAACAGCTCTTTAAACGGATAATCTACTTAAGTTTGTCTATTAAATGTACATTAAATACTACGAATTATGCATGTTTTAGATTAATTATTACAAAATAAAGCTATTTTCAGAAATTATAGTCTGTTTTTCTCAGTCTTATTCAAGTTATCGTTCATCAAGCTTGTGTGATGTTTAAAGCGTACATATTTACTCTTTAATGTTTTTTACATTTTTATCTAAATACATCTTAATATGTAAACGCGGTAGGTAAAATGATCAATAATTGACAGGTTATAGATGACTAAATATTTTAAATCAGACACGCAGTGATGTAATCGCAACGTCTGGCATCACCAATACTCTAGAGGATAATTTATTTAGTCGTCTTTAACACTACTTCGCTTAAATAGTCGACCGAGACAGTTTTAATTCAATTTCGATGACAGATTGCGCGTATATAGATCCAGTGTGGTACATTTTAAGTGCCAATATAGCGAAAAGTTTGAAATGTAAATGTTTAAAATGATGCCAATCTTGTCAACTCTAAGAACACTAAGGGGATTGAAAGATTTTAAAGTTTATCTTACGGTGTATTCATTAGTTTCTCTTACAAAATATTCTCTTATAATATGAACTGTAGATGAATTAGTGATGTTTCTTTCAACTTTAATAAAATAAGTCAAGAAGTGTCAGTGAATGCTAACAAGTGATACTTAAGGCTATATTTTGTAAATAAAAACAAATATTTCTTCTGCACACATTAGCTTAGAACTATTTTGTTTGTCTATAAAATATAATATATATACAATTGTTTAATAACTTTTTGTATTGTAGATTTGACCCGACTTACATGTAAAAAATACCAGATTGTAAATATAACAAAACAAGAGACAAGTCAACAGGGATATTGAAGATCTTGTTGGAAGAAAAGATGATAGCAGTAGTAAAAACTCAGAACTTTAAGTCAAATAATAAACTTGAAGGATGTGGTAAATATTCGGTCATCAATGGACGGACGATGATTCAGTTTAACTGGGAAATAACTTACTTTCCGTTCCAATTCTGTCAAACTTTAAAATCCCCGCCATTGCTGCGGTGTTGGGTATCTCCCCAATTCTTGGTATATACAGTAAACCATTCTGGATCACGTGAGCCCAAAATACCTTCATAATAAAATATTTAAATAGAACTAGAACGTTTATACATTCAAAGAAACAAAGAATTATTGGTAAAGATATTTAACTCTTAACAATGTTTTAGATATATAAGTTTCAGATTGATACACGTTTTCTTTAACATAAATACAAGTTTTACATTCAGTCTAAAAGTACGTACTACATTCACGGCGGATACTAATGTACTCATTTTCCTTAAATAATTCTTAAAATATGTTTTCAACATGTTTCTGTTTTTTTTTAAATATTTCCTTTGTTTTGAAAGTTAATGATAAAATAATCAGTTGAATAATTGTAAACGATCAAAGACAGAAACCGGCATTAAAATAGAAATGTTAACATGTGTCCACAGTGCACAAATTAGAGTATTGTCAAACACATTTCACACATTTAAATACATATAAAATGTTGATAGATAAAAGACTTACAGTTTTGAGAAGATTTGTGTCATTGAAGAGTATATCTTGACCATAGGACGGCATTACAGTGATGAATGAGTCATTAGGTGCAAATACTGTAAAAGAACTTGACGTGGAATTCGTTGCCATTTTTAAAGCTGGGTCAATGATAGAAGCGTTTTTGATAGACCTGAAATTGAAAATATTAAAACTATCACTACTGTCATTGTGCGGTGAGCACAATGTAAGTAGTAAAAACAATATTTACAAATTTTCAAAACTCTTTAACATATTACACAAACGTTAACCCAAAAAGTATCTTTACTTTTTCAAATTTAAAGGGAAACGTACAAAAATGTAGAGCTAAAGCAATCGAATTTAAAATTGAAAGTGGCCCCAAAAGTTAACCCAAATTTAAAGGGATATACAAAAAAATATGAGCGGGAATTTAATTTAACAAGGGGAAAATTTTAAAAAAACCAAAAGCAGTCCAAACAATGCCCAGCTTCACAAGACCACTAGTAAGGTACCCAGCGGAACACTGTACAATTAATTACTAGGGCGGAACATTGAGGTAACGTACTAATAAAAATAAATGATTAACGAGTTAAAAAGAAAAATCATAGGAAAAAATAAAAACAATGGTAATTGATTAATAAATGGGGAATTGCAGGAAGAAAGGTTTAAGGCAACAAAATAGGAAAGGGCGAGTGAAAAGAAATTCAGGGAAATTGAAAGGGCAATTAAGCATAAGCGTAGGTAAATGATTAATTGAAAAATGATAAAGGTAAAGGTGTAGGGGCAATGGAGTGAACAGTGGACTAGGGAGCGGTTGACATTTAGGGGAAAGGAAAAGGAGTTACCAACCATTGACGACAAATAACAAAACGGGCCACAGAGACACAACAAGTGTCAGCACATATAATTATGTATCAATACAGTAAACTAAAGTAACACAGTGGCACAACGCTTTGGAAATGGAGGTCATGAGGACTTTCCGCTAGTTAAATCATCATGTTGATTTACAAGATTTTACTAAAACAACTTCCACAAGTATCATTTACTTTACTCTTGAACGAAACCAAATAAGTTCTTACTGGAAAGCATAGCGTGGAAGGTCAGGTCGTTCTAGGTATTCCGCCACTGTTTTGTTCGACTGAATGGGAATAAGGAATCTGTCTATTATATGAACCACTCCATTACTGGCTAGGATATCAGACCCAATAACCCATGCTCCATTGACCGTGAATACCTGAAAACGTAAACAACAATATCAAACTGTATAAATGTCAAAGAATAACAAGAGCTGTCGGTAAGACAGTTTGCTCGACTATTCTCAATGTTTGATAGGAAATAATAAGTCTAAATAATTTTTAAGTACAAAAATGTTCATAATTCTGTAAAAGTCCATGTTAGAATTATGGGCCTTGGATAGTGACCTCCTATTATGCTCTCAAATAAGTATGTGAAGTTTCAACCCAGTTGATGAATTTCCTGAAGTAGTTTTGGAGATACCAGCTTGCACACATATTCTTTAAAAAGTCTAGCTAAAATACCATCTTGTGTATTATCATTGATTTATATTTCCGGCTGACATGCCGATAAATGATAGACATTTCTGACAAAGCGCAATTTCAAATCAATGATGCAGTATATTTTTGCAAAGGTTTAACCATAAAAAAATAGTCGAAATACATGTAGGTGCTATATTAGTAAGCAGGATTTTTGAAATTATATAAACAGACATCTAATCTTTTTGTTCCTGATCTTCTCATTCAAACAAAATTTAGATTGTGAAATACGTATAACAACACAAATACACTAATTTGTTTCGCATATAATTTATGGTTTAAAATATCGTGAGGTTAACCCTAATCAAATAATACTTTAATTGCTACTTGTTTGGGCATTCTAGAAAGCTTAAAAACTGTAAAGTTACAAATATTTACATCGTTGAAGGGTAATGTGTAAACAAGGCGGTATCGTTTGAAAAGTGACAAGGAAAACTCGTAAATCTTCTTATATATAGTGATACAACATTGAAGTTTTGGTACAACATTAAGATAACTTTACAAGTGGACAAGTAAGCTGATACCAAACACTTTCTATCTGACATTAAATAAGACAAACAAGTACCTTCTGTTCAAATATCATTGCTTATATGTCAAGCTTTTACCCCCCGCCCCCGCCCTCTCTTTTCGTGTAAACGAGGGTTGATCCAGAATAACCAGAAATCTGTTTATAATTCTGATAAATTTAATGATGTCTTTATTAGTTTTATACGCGCGAAAAGTTTAATGTTTCATCAATTTGATTGAAAAATATGATTGATTTAATAACATCCAGTACTGCACCGCCCTAGTCAGCCTTTAAAAACCTGGAAACGCCACAGCGGCTTAGCTCAAAGAACGCGACGTATAACACCAAAATTTGCCGAATCTTAGTGTTAAACCAGAATGAATAAGGTATCGACCTTTTACTGCGACAAATACTTTGAAAACAGTTTGTAGACCATAGGGTGGCATTTGACGTCACCGCTTATGGCGTTGCAATAATGCCGTATGAGAATTAATGAATACCTTTGTGTCGCCGTAGTTAAAATTATTGAAGAAAACTCGTCTATGGTCAGGATGTAACGTGCGTGTTGATTCAAATTTTTCCATTTCTGATGCACTTGTCATGCCGTCACCTGTATCAAATATAACAATCAAAGTTTTGATCTTAATGGAGACAATCAAAACAAATTTTCGAATTGTGTTCAATTTTCAATGAAGAGACATGAATAACGCTTACATAATGGTTCGAATAATGTCATCAATCGTGTTTTCTCTGAGAAAAAAAGTATTCAGCTTAAAAAAATCAGCTTACAGGAAAGGGTTTCTTAGCTTTGAAATTCCCATAACTTCCCATCCACTCATACCTAAAACGTTCCAAATACCAACGTCAGGGGAAATATTTATATGCACAGTCCTTATAATGTTTTGTTTCGATTACAAAAATATTCATAATAAATGCACATTTTTTAATAACTACATGTTTGTTGGTTTGTTTGTTTAATGTCAGGAAAATATTGTATACGTAAAATGTGATATCCAGATTTTGTGTCTTAATTTTCCTGCAGCAGTTATTACATATATGAAAATAATGTATTGTAGATGATGTACTTTGTACAAGTCAAAAAAAAATATTCTTCTGTTCTGTTCTTATATAACTTCAAGATTAACTGAGAAAATTGTTCAAATATTTCGATGATTTCCCTTATTGCTTTACTTTTAACTTACTTTTCTTAGCTAAACATATATATGTTTGGTTAAAATGTATCTAAAATACATCTAATAATATTCTTCGCCTAACGAGATGCTAGTCAATTTCCGTGTCTGGGCATAAAAAGAGAAAATAATGCGAAAATAATTGAAATATGTTTTTTGACGTCTCTAAAGTATTTCCTTGTAATGATACTGTATTTCCATTTAGAATTGTATAAATTTGGTTAATTATAACGAAAACGCAACAAAGTAGATCGGTTAGCATGGAATTAATACGCCGAACGTGCCATTTAACGCACTTATTACGAACAATTTACAACTCTGGTAGGAAATTAAAACACCCGGCTCGTCTGCAGCGCACAATTATTTGTAGTTGATCAATTTCATACAAATTTGATATTTTATTGGTTTTTAACAAAGTAAATCAAAAACAACACTAGAGGAAAAAATTAAATAGATATTCTTCTCATAAATTTTACATATTTAATAACATTGCGTACAGATTCACAGTAAATTAGCGTCAATTTAGGTTAGTTATATTCATAAATGAATATTAAATCTTAAAACATTTTCTTGATATTAAGTGATATGCAATATACGAAAATGAATACAACACAATGTCTGTTTTTGAAAAAACATATTAATGTGATATAAAGAAGTTCTTAATTACAATTTAATGTTGTTTAAGGAAAGAAATGTTGGAGAAACATCTTCAATTAGAAGTACTTTAAATTTATAATTGAATCTCAATATATGTGTTTTTTTGGGATAAGTTAGCGAAATATATGCTGTAACAGAAAAAGAAACCACTTCAGAATACAAAAAACATCATGTTTTTAACCTAGTATTTCAGATATATTGAATAAAGTAACAAACTGAAAATAGTAATTTCTATCCGCGCGTTTGTATGCTCTTGCTAAAAACTCGATCCACTTTAAAAGCTCGCTTTAGTCAGAATTCTGGGATTATCGCGATAAATGGCGATAAATACTGCAAAATCAGTCCTAAATAGCAATTCATGTAAATTATAACTTAAGTTTGTGAATCCTTTTACTTTTCTTGAAACATTTTCTCAAGAGTAATTTTCTTGAATGAAATAATTTGGCTCATCTGGAGGCATGCAGCTTTAAAGCCATACATTTTAGGTGCAAGATTACATTTGTTTAGCACCGGTACAAACATAAAAATCCAATCTGATATGCATATAAGAAAAAGTTATACAAAAGAGGCATGCTGTTTGGTTTAAAATGTCTAGTTACTACAATAACTTCTTTCATTTCAATAAAACTAGTCAAAATAAAAACAAACTGAAATATTCATCGACAGACTAATTTTATCAAAAGCAATTATGTATCGATCTGAAGTGGTTAACATCATATTTAGAATTTACATAAAGATGGGGAATATATTATCAGTACCAACTTAATTGCACTAACGATCGACTGCAAATGTCTGAGGTATTATTAAGATAAATGCCTCTGATATGACAAACGATTTTACCAGTTTAAATTTAGCAAATCTAAGCTGAAGATTATCTGTTAATAAAGTAGTTACAAATCATATTTGGAATATTTTATTGTCACAGAATTAATATTTGTTTCCATTGTTAAAGTTGAAATGAGTTTCGACAAGATATCACACGTTAGTGAATGGAAATAGTAACGTATAATTAATTAAACATTAAAAATTAAAATGAAACTATACAAAAGAAAAAGGAAACTCTACGGAAACTAGCAGTAGCAGACATATTGTTTACATGTATATATTGCTCAGTACGAATATGGAAATAATTCATTTAATGTCTTAAAATATTAAAAGGCCTAACACTAAAACGTAAATTTACTCGTTTATCTTAAAAATCTTTATCTTTTTGTTTATTTTTTTATATCATGTCTTTAAGAGCATTCATCCAAACGTAATATTATAAGGAATAATGACACTATTAATCCACCATCTCAGCGTCCAACCCCAAGACTCGAACTTAATAGATACATAGACTTTTCTTAACACTGGATGATGTTGAATATTGCAAATCAGTATACTATGTACGTTGTATTACAATATAGTTCTTTAAGTTGTTTGATAATGTGAAAGCAACAGATCAGGTGGTAACAAAATTACAATTAAAGATGTTAGTTGAAAATATTAATTAAATATTAATCTCTCCTAACCTATTAAGGCTATCTGTACAAACGACAGTACATATTGTTAAACTATTCTAGAATGCATTATATATCTCCCTTAACATGATGTTCTCCAGACTGTAACAAAATGAAATCGGTTGAAGTGGAAACATATGTTATTTCTAGAATGCATTATCTACATAGGCCTATGTCTTTACAATGCACGATAAAAGTTCAACCTCGGTTGGCTCGAACTACAGATATCTCGAACAAACAGGCCCACCGAGTTCGAGCGAACAAAGTTTGACTGTATATATTTTCACCGAACAAGTTGAAGGTAGTTGTACTTGTTTAGTGCTGCTCACGTATGATTGAGAAGAAATATAAGGGCATAACCTTAAATGGTAATTTATGCTAACAGGAAAAAATAGTCTCTAATGGGAATTGATATCTCATTCATAAATCGTTTCATATCATTTGTGATGAAATAGGCAAAATGTCAGTGTTACTGCAGCAGAAAAAATATCATTGGGGTTAATTGGGCTAATGGCAATATCAAAGGAAGCGATGTACTTTGAACGTTGACAGCACAACATCGTTAAAAATATTTGCTTGTCATTTCCGTAGCGACGTAAGACACACTGACGCCGTTGAAGTCATATGGTAAATTTCCTGATAAGCGGGTGTAAGTTTAAAGAGACTATAGGTTTCCCTCAATACGTAGTTTCTTAGAAGTGCGAGCGAATTTTTTTTAAACACCGACAATTTATAATTAAGCTATACGGACTGCTACACATAACTGAATATTTCAATTTCATGGCATATTATGATATTAAATAATTCATAACTATGTATTACCTATATGATAAAGTAGCATGTTCTTCATGGTGGTCGGGTCCGATGTGTTGTATCCATATTTGTAGGCATCGTCAAGAAATCTTTCGTAGACGGATGACACTGGTACAAACACAGTAATTCCTGGCCGTTCAAAATACTGCGTCAAATTGTGAACTCTGATCAGCATAGCAAACTGAAAAGAGATTAAAAAAATCAAAAGTCTTTGCAACATCATATTTAAGGGCAACAACTTATGTTTAAAGGTCCAGAAGTTGTAAGCCGAACTTTTGATGAATAGTTGACACGTTGCACAATCAAAGTTTCCTGGCAGGGTAGACAACTTTCATGTCTTTTTGAGACACCTGAACGTTGATTTTAAAAGAAGATACAGTTTTTATAACGATGACCATATTACCTTTTTTGTAATGTCCCTCACTTTTGTAAAAAAACAAAACAAATATGTTTTCAGGAATTCTATTTTTTAAATGCAAAAGAGAAAAATAATGACAATATTCAGTAGGTTTTTATACTGTGGCGATATCATATCACAGTAATTATTTCTTTTCTTGACATTTTTGTTTTCGGGATTGGCATTCTAGAACGGTCGGTTTTATTCCAATTCTAACGTATTTGATACAATATTAGTAACTAAATACATCAATGTGTTTATATACTTTACGGATAGGAGGTAAAAGAATCCAATCAGCGTTATCTCGAAAAAATACAACGGACTGTATCCTGGTTACCCTTTACGATAACGAAGGGACGTCTGTAGGGAATTGAATGCAAACAACTATGTGATTAGTAAGATAGGCTCCCTGTCTAGACACAAGGATGATAATGTGGCGTAATGCTGTGATAATCACCATAACGAAGAGGATCAGAACTGTCTTATATCGCCTCTCTAATAATTTGTCTGACCGCTGCATGATTGATAGGGGTCTATTCTTGACTTGAAACTGTTTATAGCTAAACACTGACCATCACTTGATGTGTGGTAATTGTATGTTTCCGACCGAGTAAGATGAAATTATGTGATGGAAATATTGTCAGGCACAATTTAGTTGTATTTGGGTAATTTGCATTATTAATAAAAACGATCAGCACCAAACTATCACTCTTTCCTAATATACACGAGTTTAGGGTAAATCTAAATGGATAAAGCTCATTCTCATTATTTATCAAATATGTCAGATGTAATATAAAAATAACTTATTTCATTCATGAAAAGAATTACCAGGAGTCACGTGACAACAAAACAGACAACGAGGTGATTTGATTTGTCTAACATTGATCGTTAATAGTCTTTCTATATGCTAATTATATAATACAGTAATTGTAAACGAATATGACTGTCAAAATCAAATAAATGCATTGGAAAACATACGTAAATACCTTTCAACTATAACTTTAGATATAAGGGGTCTTTATTTAAATGGTATATCCATTTCATCCATGCTGGTAAAAAAACAATAATTGTTCTCTTCGTTAATTTATATCAGGCGATATTCATGAATATGTTCCAACTACAATTATGATATAAACCTTACCTGTATTTAACTTAACAAATTCGTGAATATTCATTAGGGTGTCGGTGTGTACGATATATATATTCAAATATCCTTTAAGTTCGATAAATAAACAATGGAATCATATTATTCTCAGCCTATGTGTATGAGAGCCAGGTATTTTAAGTACCATAAAATTCTCCCCTTTTAAAATCTGTAGATATTAAGTACTCTGACTGGAAACCACTATATCATTTGTATCATTTATTAAAGGAACGTACACGAATACTAATAAGAATCTATTTCATGATATGTGCATGCGTTAAGGGAGTTAAGTAAATTGGTTAAAAAAAAGGATAAGCATATGTTTTTACATAGCATTTCTGGCAATAATGATGCGATAGAGTTCCACACATTGACACATGATTGGTCATGTTACATTTATAAAGTAAGGGATGTACTTATCTATATATGGTGAGTGTTCTGACCAATGCATAGAATATATAATATAGTCCACCGAATGAAAGAACCATTACTTATACGAATGGTTTTATAAACCACATAAGCTAAATATATCACTATATATATATAATTTATAATACTATTTATATATCACGTTTTCAATCTTTGTGTATATTTAGCATTTGAATTGCATTTCATTTTGAATATATAAACTAATCTTAATACACATAGCATACACATACATATCTTTTAAGTATCCTGCAATATAAACACAAATTCAAATGTAAAAAGCAGCATTATCAAGTTTAAATCCATCCAGTCATGTATAGGTTATTGTACAAAATTAATGTTTTACAAACCTTTCTCAGTCTGTTCCAGTAATTTATATGCTCGACGGCAGTTTTGTGTGTTTTCCTGGGATTGTAGTAAGAAAGTACAACAGTAAACATATATGCTAGTAAAATCACAATAAATATCCGTGTTGTACATTTCTGGACCATTATCCCACCTTGGCACATGTTTTCCTCTGTCAACTTTGTCCAATTTTCCTTTGCAAATTATCATATTCCTTTCCGATAATCCATATAACTGTTCAGAATTCCATTTTCAATTTTCATTTTCTTCACATTTTCATAGTTATGATATAACATTATCTATTTATTTCATATACTTCAACCCAATATTCAATGTTTGATTCACTTCAATAATTTGACAATGATAAATTATGAACATCCCTGTCGCTATAAAATAAAAAAGCACGGTGTTTGTGAAGATTTTATCAAATACATATTATAGCAAATTACCCACTAATGTACTGGCTATCTATTTGAAAATCTTCATAAATTACAAATTGATATTGAAGTATCGTCTCTAATAACACAATCTCAAGATCCACAGATATATTTAATGGTAAGCCTCTTCAAAATCATATCAAGATTGTATCCAATATATAACTAAACGCGACAAAATACCATTAGCTCGGATATACCATTTACTTACATACAAAACAACGATACAATACAATGCTTAAATACGCAAACATGAGAATCCAGTCCTTGCAGATTCAGATATACTATTAATAGATAATTCTGGGAATAACATCGACAATGCCATCTGTCAGAAACACACAATTCACTATAGTAAAGGTTTACAAAATAAGATAAGCGAGGTTATATATCCAGAAAGACTTGGGCCAGTCAGACCTTGTTTACTTCCGTTCCCATGATACAGAGTGAGTAACAAGTCATAGACATTAACATCTTCCCTATGAAAGTCCTAATAATAGTTCAAGCAATATTTTTTGTTTTTACTCAGCTAATATTATTCTCTAAGATTAAAGGAAACAGAAGTATTGAAAATAAATGAAATAACACAATCTCTATTTGTAATAAAATTGACATCACTACGCGCGAACCGTTGAACATTGTATGTTTAAAATTGAGCTCAGATTAAAATAAACTAATGATCTAATAAATGAGTTTCACCAAAATCATCAAATCTGAAAGACTAGTACGAACTGTAAAATTGATTAAATGACAGAAAGCAAGAAGGTTATCGTCAGTCAATTTCAAAAGATAGTTAAATATGTTATAGATATACCCGACTACAAGAAAGCACACTTCACAGCTTACTTAATCACACTAGAGTTAAACTAATTATCAAGTGTCTGTACAAACCTATTTCGTCAAAGAAAACTACTAATTCCACAGCAGAGCTCTTATTGATATTTCCAATACATTAAATTACAATCCAATACTTTATATCAATGGCAAATTACACTAAATAGCCAATGCCGGATATAACTCCATGAAGATTAAGGTGAAACAATCCATGCCTAAACAACTTATAGCTCTTATAGTTATTATGACAAGACTAGCATATATCGCTGAAATTTTCCGATGCATTTGATAGTCAGACAAACTACAACTCATTACATAATGGGACAGTCCTTTATGTCTAAAACCAACGTCTCTTCAAGAAAAATTTGCAGTCCCGATATTGGCCTAAAACCTCAAACTGATGACACTCTTACCACACTATGATAATAATGGAGTCATTAATGTGTAGTTTGTACTTAATTCTATATAAGTCATATTGCTGTATGTGTATTTCTACTCGTCGGTATTTTGGTTTTATATTTTGTAGAAACCAAATTGGTAATAAAAGATAAACAGGTGAAATTTGTACTACACAAAACTTTTTATCATCAAATTACATAGATATGTAATTATTAGATTTAATCTTTTCGAAGACAACACTACATCAATATCATCTGCATAATCAAGCAAAGACACTTAACCAATGCACAGTAACTATGAAAACTAAAAATGGAAAAATATTTAAGTACTGGTACGAGTATCTAGCTAATGAACATTATAATGGCTTTATATAAACAAAAACTAATTTTGACATTGTAACTTATTTATAGATAAAAAGATACACCCAATTGTCAGAATATGCACGAAATAAATACAACTACTTCGAACGTCTTAAGCCTGTTTGGACACTTTAAGATACTAATTATCATATATGCAATAATTTCATTTACATAAATAGATATTTAGTTTTCACTTTTTCATTATCCATTAATGTTTAAAGAGTCAATTCTTTTCTTGATATCCAAACTTGATTGTATGTCGAGTCGTTGAACTTTGAAACTTTATATTTAAAGAAATATGCAGTTAATCTTTCTTAGTGCCGGTGATAATTAATACGTTTTGATTATAATCCACAAACATTTCGCTATAATTGTCTCTTAGGTAATTACCCCCCTTGCAAGAGGAGTCGTCTTTGAATGGGTGATTAATGGACATTCTGTATTCTCTAATAATCGCTATTGAATGCTTATATTGGTTCTCTACGACATTAACCAATCATTGATGGGGCAATCCTCTCTTGGTAATTATAAGATGTCTGATAGAATAAATCTATTACAATATAACGTCATAAACTATAAAGAAAATGCAGTACAAATTGTCTTTATAAGGTGCATTTCACAATATAGTACTAATATACAATCCTTTTGTATTGCTGGTACGGTACATGTTGTGAACGATCAAAGTACTAACCTAGCAGGTAAGAAAGGTTTGATTTCTCTATTATCCAGTCCCAGTGCTTTTGGAGTATGGGCATTACAACAATTAAGGCACTATTAACAATTACTACATTTGATAAAATAATGCAAGCTGAGCTGTTGGCCTGTCTTTAACTAAACTATTTTGAGACTACCATTATGTATCATTTCCTAAAATAAACTTACAAACTAACATATATACAACATGTTACAAAAAACTATTCATTGTTCTAATGACATACATTCCTGAACATCTCAAAATAACTGTAAGAATTATACCTGAACATCTTATAATAAAATATGGTTTTCAATAACTAAGAATTATACCTATCTTCTAACAGACAGAAGTACTAAAAAATCTAAAATTACTGTCTCGCTTTTAGCAAGTAATGTAAATGTAAAGTAAACATTAAAACTCTGAAGTTTATATGAACATTCAATACCAAACAGTTCTCAGAAGGCGAACATATTAAATATCAATATACAGCGGTACAGATACAGAAATAATAAACTAATGAAAGAGCACCGCAATATCGTCTGTCAGCAAACATCCATTTATATCTGAAATTCAATTATTACGGCTTTTACAAATGAGATAAGATGCGAAATTGCTAGAGAACGAACAATAAGAAAATTCCACACATATATTCTGTGGCAAAACCAATAAGACCTTTGCTATGGTAAAGTGACGAATACAAACACTTCAATATCATTTCTTACATTCATCTATCATTACTTTACTTAGTACAAGCTGTCGGGATACGTTGTAATGAATGTAGTACATCTAAAACTTCGACGAACATAACAAACTAGAAAGTCGAAACGATTTGTAAAAGTTAAAGCGAAACTTAGACAAAATGTTTGAATTCAACCTCTGCAATTTACAGTCATTTCGAAAATACTTGTCATTAACCTTAAACAAATACCGATTCCTAAACTGTTTATTATATGTACTTTTAAGAGTCAGCAACTTAGCAAAAAATTGTCATAGTAGACTAAATTACCTCCACATTGCTTTTTACATGCGCAACTATTAACAGAATTACAACTGCTATTATTTCAGACATGTGTAAGCAGATAAAAATAAACTATTAGTTAGGCAGGTTAATGTTCTGTGAAACATATGTTTAGGTAAAGCGAAAAAATCTGCATTATAAAACGAAAGACATAGCATTAAATCATTAACAAATTTGTCATACATTTTATTGTTTTGGCTAAACTAACACTAAAAGATAAAAAGGTATGCGGTAAAAATAATATCTTAAGCAAATTAAGTATCATTGTTTTTATTAGATAATATCACTATTCATTTCATAAACGCAGTATGATTTCTAAACTAACCATTTCCAAGATTAGTTTGCAATACCAGAATGTCTGTCTTTGAACGGAATTTCCATATATCCAGCAACGCAGATTAGTATCAAGACATTCTCAAGCATGTTTCAAAACCAAACACATTTCATATTTGTAATACGTGCAAACAATAAAAAGAGCAAACTTTAACTAAATAGAAATCTTTATAAGTTCCACATGCCTTATATTTACACACAACATGTCAAATAAGTTCTTATCACTGTCGAATTATCACCATTTGGCTAAGACCTTTCTGTCTAAACTCCCGAATAGTTCAGACATTTAAGTGTGTTATTATTTCTTGTATTGTATGTTACTGACACTTTAAAAGAAACAGTTGCTTTTACGACTATATGATAAAGTTTCACATGATTGTTGTTTTTACAAATAACCAAAGAAATAAAAAAAGATTTGTGGCAAATGTTTTCAATAACATTATTTCAGCCGAATTGCGTTAGATCTTAAGTTACATGTTTTTTAAAAAGAATATTTAAGATCAATCTGAACTATAATTTAGGAAAATGATTCGAAACAAAATCGAACTTTTTCGTTTTACAAATGAAATGCACGTTATGTTAACGAGCACGTTCACGGACAAAAACAATGTTTGCAATATACCAGATTGTGAACACTAGAGTATCTATGAAGATATCATTGTTTCTACGGTTTAAACAAATAAAATCACACAAAACCTAATAAGCATACCAGCATATCTTGATAAGCAATAAAAATCTAAAACAAAGAGTAAAAGCATTTTATTCTGTAGTTATCCACCCAATTGTAACTACTTCCAAGTTCAATCAAATTACAAGAAAATAAGTGAATAATTTCCTTTTTGCTTATCCTTTTGCAATTTTATTATAATTGGAAACTAAGTTATGTTTGTTTTTGTCTCCAATGGGTGATAAACGAGCATTCCCTCTTCTTAAATAATCTCAGTGAGACGTCTATATTGTTTTCTCGGCGACATAAGCGATTCATTGATGATGTAATACTCCTTCTATTACTTCACATCGGCTGATCGTACACATATATTAAACATAATACTTCATTTCTGTAACATTGATTTCTATTGGCCAGTCATGACGATTGCAAGTCTATGTATCAAAGAAAGAGTACTAGTATGTACGTTATTATAAAGTTGAAGTGAAGAAGGGTCATATGGTAGAGTTTAGACCAACATGAAACCTGTCAAAATTCTTTATAAGTAATCATATATTCCCAATTCTCTCTCGTATATGTCACACAGTAATATCCTAGAAATGTTTCATAAATTTTCTCTTTACATTGGATATTTATAAGTTGCAACAATAT